AAAGCTCTCACACTAGTCCCTAAAACATTCTCTTTAATAGCATCTCAGGTGAGCTGAATTTCTTGGCTCCTGCTGCTCTTCTGAACCAGATATTAAAAAGAAGCAACATTTTGCAGTATATCATCTTTGGAACAACAGGGACTAGTTTCTACCCCCTGAAGCAAGTTGAAAGCAAAATGGAGATCAGCCTATTTTCCCCCCTCCCACCCTAGGAAAATTGGCTTTAATGATCTAGACAAGTTGAAAGGCTTCTGCTAGTAGGGAGCTGACAGATAGATGTTGAAATTCTGAAGGAAAAAACTGCATCACACAGCAGGACCCACATTTTTCAGAAGTTGCCTTTTTTCTTTTTCATTTTTCCCATTAATTTTACTGGCATGTGAAATACTCATATTTGGAAGTGAGTACTTGACACATTTTCTCTTATTGTTGATTAGCTTAATATGGCTAATAGTAATAATCATTAAATGAAAGAACATCCGTTGTTTGTTTTTGTCGCACTCACATTTGAGGAAAAATAGGCTTCATAGAGCTGTCTGGGGAAAAAATACCCAGAAGCTGACAATGAATATATTAATCTGTGAAGTCTATGACTGCTTGTTGTTAATGATGAAAAATAACACCAGCCACTAAGATATAGAGGCTGGGATGCACAGTGGTTGTAAGTCAGCCTGAGAATCATCAGTAGGAAGAAGCTATTTGCAAATTAGATGGAACTGCAAGAGAGGCTTTAACTGCAGGATTGGGCAATCTTTTTAAAACTGGGGGAAGGCTGAAGATTATAATGGGCAATTATCCATAGAGGCAAGTATCAGGATTTTCTATGTTTCTGGTTTGGAAAGGATTGGAAAGTCATGTTTTTAATAGTTTTAAACCCATGTTAAAGCTTACATTATGCTTGCTGTATACTTCCAACTCAAAATAGTATATCAAATACTCACAAGGCAAAATAACAATCAGGAACTGTTTCTTGCTTTGTTACAATTATTGCAAAGTGTTAGGAAACTCGGGTTACTGTGTTGTCCTGCAAATCTGCATAAGAAAGAGGAAATGGGGGCCAAGCTTGCTATTCCATTAATGGAATAAAAAGAATCAGTTTGATGTAGTGGTTAAAGCACTGGACCTGAAGACTTTAGTCCTACCTTAGGCGCAAAATCAGTTGGGTGAACCTGGGCCAGTTACTCTGTCTCAGCCCTAGGAAGGAGGCAATGGCAAACCACTTCTGAAAGACCTTGCCAGTGATGGCTGGAATCAATACTGACTTGACAGTACATACCCACACCCATCCACCACACAGAGTAATGGAATAAAGGCCATAGAGAGGAACATCTGCTATTAAAAGTTATTGCTATAGGATCCAAGACATGAGTATCTTCATTTGAATGCATGGGATGAGAAACATAGAGAAACCAGAAGCTGAACTGGTAAAAACACACGCACATTTGGACCTGTGAAATCACTATTAGAGTGGCAGGTAACTTTCACTCATAGCTTAAATCTGTCTTTATGAGTACTGACTTGAAGCTAAACAGACCAAAAGGAATTTTATGCACAGCCTAATTTATTGGCTTCTGATGAATGATGGTCTATATTGTGTAACAGTTTCTTGCACTTATCTCAGCTTTTGAATCCACTATGTATACTAGTTGAGACCCCCAGACTTATAGTCATGGGGGATCTCAACCTGCCGTCGGCGGGCGAAATGTCAGCGGTGGCTCGGGAGTTCTTGGCCTCCATGACGACCATGGACTTGACCCAATTAGTTCATGCACCCACTCACACGGGAGGACATACACTGGATCTAATTTTTGTCTCTGGCCAGTGGCAGAATGATCTGGAAATGGGGGAGATAATCATAGAGCCTTTGTCATGGTCAGATCATGCACTCCTTAGGATGGACTTC